GATTCTGGTCCTTATCATACTCCAGATTTTTGGTCTCCACGCCCCTCTCCACATACACCCGATCCCCAACCGGCGCAATGACCCTTCCCACAGACATCAACTCTTGCGTCAGCAGCAGCCATGATACTATATTCCTCGCCGGGGATATGAAGATGTCCCCATCCTCAACCTGATACCCCATCTCCCCATTTGGGATCAAACTCGGTATGGGCAGGCGGAGGTGAATAACCTGCTCGTCCTGGCCTGTCAGTAGTAGGGGCTGGGATAGGAGGGAAACAGCCGGCTCCTTCACTAATAGGTAGAGTATTGCAATAGGGATCTTGTTTGCGTTTTACTGTATAAAACTGTATGGGTCACGTGTTCATTGGGTCCCCGATTCAGTTCCAAAGGCTTTAAATAACACCCATTCTACATTCCATCCCGTTTAAGTGAGACAACAGCCATGATCTGTGAAAAGGGTTTCAATTGCTGATGTGGTTTAACACAAAACCTCAGAGTGCGCCCGATTGCAGAGAATTTATGATCAGTGGGAAATCCCGTAGCAAGACAAAATATTGCAGTTCCCTAGTTACACATCACCTGGCCGCCTGCCCCTGCCCCAGGAGTAATCTCTATTGCGTTGAAACGGCTAAATAGCTCAAACTCCATTCTCTCGCCAGCTTTGGGGCCTCTCATAATCTCGCCCATCATGTCTGAGCCAGCCGGGAAATCAGTCTCAAAAGAAGGCTCTCCAGCACCCTTCATATTAACAAGGACTGCCTGGCGAAAGTGCCAGCGTAGGAGGTCATTAGGCGGCCGGAGTGGGTTATCGATGAACGTTTGGTCAAGATGACGACCCGCGATGTGATAGTTAGTGAGATCAGGTGTGAAGCACACGATCTTGTGGTTATCCTATTCAATTATTAGCCACGAAGCCTTGAATAACTAGCTCTACTTACATCAGGGTTAATTGCCAAATCATAGGAAGCAAAGAACTGGTACATGTTTCTCGTGAGCAAGATCCCATTCTGGACAGAGTTGATGGATCCGTGGGACTCATTGGTGGGTGGAATGGTGATCAAACGATGGTAGTTACAATCGTTCCACTCCCTCTCGTATGCCAAAGGAAATATGTGAGTGGCTTCGAAGCCCCTCGACCTGCCAACATGAGCTAGCACCGCAGGCATGCCTGTTATAACGCATCGCTGATCTCGCTGGAGCACAGCATCGCGGAACGATGCAGTACGAGTCCCGGAGAGCAATGAAGCTGTACGAGTTAGCGGGTCTTCATCGGTGACACTGACGGAACCTATTTGCAGTGAGTAGCGGCCAATGGTGGAAGCAATGAAGAAACCTACCCTTTGTGACAACAAAATAATTGCCTGGTTGAAGCTGTTGTCCATCCCTCCCAACCAACTGTTTGCGGTCGTCACGTAGATGGAAAGTATCGGTAAAGAAACAGAAAATCTCCAACATGGAATAGAGATTGGCGTTGGTAATACCTTCAGAGGCCCAGAGGCCTCCGAGCATAGTATCACGACTGTCGGAAGCGTAGATATAAGTATCACGCCATGCTGAGCGATCAGTGGGCGGCGTGTTTGATTGACTATCTTCATCTGTCACAGACATGCTTTGATGAAAAGGGAGGAAAGCTTGTGCTAAGGTAGAAGGAAGGAATGTTTGCGATGGCACGAGAGTCATGGGATAGGCTGCAAGGTGGTGATAAAGAAAAGTAATCATAGACAAACATTTACTTGGGGACCGCATAATATGTGATTATATAAGCACAAAAACGCTGTTCTGGCTAAGCATTCCGACTGGGGTAAAGTCAACCCTAAATTGAATAGTATTCATTCGCATAATCTGGTGAGAACTGGCAGGCTCCAGTACATTCAAATGACATTTTTTTCCTTGTTTTGTCTCAAAATCGCAATAAAATGCCATATCCTAACCCTGTATGTCCAGGACTAAACCGTTCTAAGCTATCTCCTTCACTCAATCGTGAGTCCACGCAAGCCGCGTCCTTAATTCAACGTACTAGCGCCTGCCGGTTCTCGCCAAATAATGCGGTACCACCTAGACATGATAACAGACTATATACATACAAGTTTCTGCATACCCATCGCAATTTCACCCGTTCCCGTACACATTCCCGTATGCGTTGTCTTCATATCTCCACCTAATCGCACTCTTCATTCGCCATACATTCAGCCCTATACATTCCACTATTCCTGCAATGCCGATCATTTCACATTCCAACCAGTGCAACATATTCCAGACAACAATAATAGCACGACCATGAGCACAGTTGTCAACCTTGCAACGCATGTACTGTACAGTACCACAACTCAATACTATAAATAAATTTAATTGTTTCATGATGAAACGACAACAACGATATTAATAAAAAACAATAAACTCGGTAGAAGTTGATACCGGGTATGCAGCCCCCCAGCCTTCATCGCACCCTCTACCCTCTGAGGCATACTCCTAGCTAAACGGTTGAATAAATCAGAGTCCCCATAGCCCCGACTGCCCGTAAGGTGAGAGTTCCAGCAGTCATATATTACAGTAGCTAGATGGAGTTGAGTAAGCGTACTCGTACAGCTTCATGCGCGGAGCGATACAGAATACGGCGCTAACTCAAGGGTTCAAATTTTCACCCAACAGTGGACTGAAAAGAGCTCCAAAACGAGCAGGCAGTCTTAAAGGAAGTATCATACATTCTAGAGTATTGGACTTTGTGTTTTACGGTTGAAGATCCCCTGAGCAATCTGTTCAATGAGTCTATCGCTTGGTTTCCGAAGGTCGAAACATCATCCATTCCACATTCCATCTCATTTAAATGAGACAATAGCCATTTCCTATTTAGAAGGGTTTCAATTACTGGTATTCTTTCACGTAAAAGCCTAGAGCGCGCCGGATTTTGAAGGGATTTATGAACGGACATAGGTTCTCAACGACGTGGCTATGTGAGAACATGTAGTGACCTAGGTACACATCACCCGGCAGCCTACCCTTGCCTCTTCCATGCCCCCATTTATTAAAACGGTCAAACAGCTCTAACTCCATTCCCCTTTCAGTCCTTTGAACCACTCTCTATCTCTCCCATCCTGTCTGAGCTAGGCGGGCGGTCGGTTTCGAAACAAGGCTCTCAAGGCCCCCTCACATTAGTGAGGACTGCCTGGCGAAAGTGCCAGCGTAGGAGCTCGTCGACCGGCCGAAGTGGATCATCAATAAATGTCTGGTCAAGACGACGACCGGCGATGTGCTGGATAGCGCGATCAGGTGTGAAGCACACGATCTTGTGGTTATCCTACGCAATTATTATCCACGAAAACTTGAAGATCTAGCCATTCACACATCGGGGTTTATTGCCACCTCATAGGCATCAAAGAACTGGTGCATGTCGCTCGTGAGCAAGATCCCATTCTGGACAGAGTTTATGGGCCCATGGGATATAATTGCGGGGGGAATATTGATCAAACTATCGTAGTTATATTCATTCCATTTGCCCTGGCATGCCAAAGGGAATATATGAGCGGCCTCGAAGGCCCTCCATCTGTCAACATGAGCAAACGCTGCCGGCATGCCTGTTAAAACGCATCGCTTATCTCGATTGCGTACAACCTTGCGGAATGGTCCAACACGAGTTCCAGTTTGCAACGAGATCTGACCATTCAGCGGGACTTCGTCGGTGACAACGATGGAACCTATCCGCAGTGAGTAAATACCGATAATGGAAGCACAGAGGAGCCTGCCATCAGTGACAATATAGTAATTGCCTGGTTGAAGCTGTTGCCCATTCCTCCCAACCACCTGTTGGCTATCGTCGTTTAGATAGTAAGAACTGCTAATAGAACAGAAAATCTCCAGGATTGAATAGAGATCGGCGTTGGTGACACTGTTGGTCACCCAGAGACCTCCTAGTACGGCGGTACGATTCTTGGAAGCATAGATATAAGTATTATGCAATGCGGAGGGGTCAACAGGTGGCATGTTTGATTGCCTATCTTGGTCTATCAATCATTTTGTTCACTACCCGAGGGGAAATAGGAAAGAAAGGAGGACTTGCCTTGAAGGAAATAAAAAGGATGTTTACGATGAAATGAAAGAAAGGAATGTATGCGCTAACACAGGAGTTGTGTATCTAGTTGATAAGATGCAGGGAGGTAACAGAGAAAAGCGGAGGAACACGAACCTGAACAGAGATATCGTAGGAAACCTTCGCTTTTATAAACCCAAAACCATCAACCCCTACTTAGCTTAGCATAGAGCCACAGCACAACGCCTAATGGCTTCTGAAATCAGCCCCGCTTGCGTCTTCTAGGATGATATGTAACGTGGACAACATTCTGCTAAAAAAATACAGAAATACAATGGTGATGCCCTTTCGTGGCGTAGTTGGTTATTACATCAGTCTAACACACTAGTGGTCTCCGGTTTGAGCCCGGCCGAAATCATTCTCTTTTTCTCACTTCTAACAGTCTTTTTCCTCCTTCTTCATTCACAATGTCATCTATTTCATTAGCTCCAATCGGCTGCTTGTCAATTTATACGGCTGGGGAACTCTTTAACCAGAAGGAACAGTAAGAGAGCGAGACTGGTCATTAATACAGTTAATGGTATAATTTACTCACACGAGTAAGATCCTGTGACTAGTTACCCCCTATTATGATGACGATGATACCTGACGTGGAGAAAAGGAAGAGAAAGAGAAACAAATGAAATCCATTGAGAACGCTCCATTTTCCCAAGCTCGGACCTCCCACCAGTCACCCTCCGACGAGTTGGCATAGCAGTTAGTCCACCTTTGCACCGGCGAGGCGGCCTGCCTGAGCGCTTGTCATGAGGTCCCTCTCTCCTACCACCCGCATACGTCTCTGTCCCCCCGCTCTCCTCACAACACTCCCACTACAACAGCCATTTTCCAAGAAACAGACATCGATGTCTTCCAACACAGTTCACCGCATTGACGAATCTAAAGCTCAAGAGATTTTTGGGTCCTACGGGTGCTTAGTATGACGGGTGTGTTCCCCTCCCCCCTAGAGATTCTGTAATGCTAATATGCTGTTAATTCAAGATGGGAGACCAGAGGGCACAACAGAGCCCTTGCCGATTGGGTCATCATTAAAGTGGGTACAGTTATGAAGAAATTTTTATAACAAAAGACTATTACGTATTAACTTTTAATAGCTAGGAGTCCCCAGTGGTAAAGTCTATGGTTTCGAGATTGACACAGCTTGCTTCAACGAAAACCACGGTCCAGCAGTCACCGCCGAGGGCACCTTCCTTGACGGCAGCCACCTAGACGCAAATACACCAGTGAGTGAATTACTTCACTAAATTAGTTCGGTCTGACACCCGAACCCTTCTAGTGGGAGGGAATCCTCACAATGCGGGGGTGTGGCCCTACCCGGAGACACATCTGGAAGCTAAGCTCTCCCACTGCCAAAGCCCACCCTCATGTCCGTCTCAATATGTTTCCCGATGGATGTTGTTCAAATGTGTGGGTACGGCACTATCTTAATAACTTTGTACGAAAGTACGACACAGTAGTAAGAGTATACTGCGGGCACGCTAAGCAAGAAGGAATTTTGTATGAAGGTAGATTGGTAGTAGTTCTTGTCCTTAATTCTCTTAAGCGAGATGGGTGGTAACCCCTATTTATACAGGTGCGCATCCTTTGCGTAACTAAGAGGAAATGTAAGGGAAAACATAAGTATCAACGTGTTTGACCATAACATAAGTAGGAAAAACATAAGTGCAAACATGTTTGACCCTAAAGAACTGCCAAGGAAATCTCATAAAACATGCGTAAATCTGAGGTGGTGTGAACAGATAATTAGAACATAATTGTAAATCAAATGACCGATGACCATGCATGATGATGCATAAAATGTAAGAAATAAACCCAAACACCAGATAAGAAAAGCACGCCATAATCCCCTAATCGTATCATGAAATATCAATGAAATATACGTAATACATGCTCTGCTGTAGTAATGTCCGTGAACTAGAAATAATACTAAGTAGAGGAATATACGATATTATCAAGAGAAATATACATATGAAACGAATTAGAAAATTCAACAGATGTAAGCTCATAACAGATTCCGCCACAATAAATGCCGGGAGTACTAACACGCTGTTAGGAATTGCCCGCTTCCGCTCGCTTGGAACTACAGTCCCTGTGTTCCCCAGCGATCCGGACGCGATTATTGACCTTGCTCACGTCTCCTTTGGTGGTCTGGAGATCTCCTACCGCGACCGAAACTTTGAAACAAAAGCGGCCAATCTGTTGCTTCCCGGAAGAGGTAAGGACCCCGAGCCAGGCCATGTCGACTGGGTTGCCGTCAAGGTTGTACGCCTTTCCCTTGGACCAGCCGAAACGCCTTAGTTATACTAACCGGTTTTCACCACAAAGGGGCTCCGGGATACATTGAAGAGGTTATAGTTGACATCCTCCTCTTCTGTGGAAACTATTCTCAAGCCGTTGAAATCTACACTATCAATTCCTCCGACCAACATATCGCCAGCGATGCCAGTGGATGGGAACTTATCGTTCCTGCACACTCTTGTGAGGCGGATAAGGAACATGCATTCCAGTCACCCTCTTCCAGAACATTAACGGAAAAACGGTTACTCATCTTAAAGTGGCCATCATTCTTGACGGAGGGGTGAAGAGCCCGAGAGTCTTCGGGAAAAGTGCTATATTTGCTGGTAACTAAATTTGGGACTGCCCTCTTGGTACCCCTTGAGCTTATAGCAGTAAAATGGGAGGGGCCCTCTGAATGGACAGTTTCCTCTACAAGTGCTTAACAGATCTACTTTTCCCACTGATTGATTCTTCCGCTACAATACATTTGTGCCGCGAGAAGCCGTTTTATAACCTAGTATCTACCACTACCTCCGCATCAATGATTGGTCCATCACCCCGGAATAGCTACAGCAAGCCCATAGAAAGGTAAACAGGTCCCAATCCTCGACTCGGGAACACAAGTAGGATAGAAAATGTGAGACTAGGCAATTTTCTGTGGTCCAGCGAAACAACAAAGAGAAACGCATCAACCTAAATAAGCGTAAAACTAAATACGCTAAATCTCAGCTAAAAGTATACTCCAGGGAAACCGTCCTCTCAAGTGATCCCGTATGAGCACAGACATTTCCACCACCGTGCTCTAATCTCCCACTAAGAACTGTAACCAGTGCCCAATCTCTAGAATGCACCCACCCAGATATATGCACATTGACTGTCTGAATTAGAAACCCTAAAAAAGAAAGAAACTATCTACGACCCTCTCTCTCACTTAATCATCCTCGAAAAGCCCCTCGATCGCTTTATAATTAATCTTCTTGGAATAACTCCTACGCATGAGCATGTTCTTCGCACTGCCGGCAGGGGTAGCAGTCATTTCCTTGCTGTTACTATCGCGGGATTTATCCCTCTTGCGCTTTTTGGCAGTCTCGATGATACCGTTGCGGAGGTGAGCTTTCTTCTTCAGGCGTTTCACTATAATATCCCTGTTAGCCATACCATGGCACTCATTGGGAGGGGAAGGAAGATTAAGGGAAAAAAGAAAAAAAGGGAAGATTTTGCATCCTTGCCCACGCAAGTAGTCTTTGTTAAGCTCCACCCAGATCTTCTCCTTCAGGTCGCATTCCCCTCCAGTGAGCAGGGCCTTCTGGACTTCAAAGTCGTCGTCGACGTTGTCCGGGTCGTCTGATCTAGTAGAGGTGGCGCATTCTTGGCTCAGTTGGCGGTCGGCCTCTCGGAGCTCTTCCATGATCGATGTGGCGGAGCCATCTAGTAGATAGGGATCTCGGATTCGGTTACTTCCTCCGCGATGGCGGAGTGTTGGTCATCTTTGGCCTTTTCGACGGATTGTGGTATGAGGGAGTCCGTGATGTCAATTGGTGTTCCGGGGAGTGAGGAGATCGGGAGTGGTGAGAGTATGGGGAGTTCTGGGATTACGAAGCCGTCTGTTTCCAGTCTGAGGGGTTTATAGAGGAGCGTAAGTAGTGTTGGGCCGCTGGGAGGAGCACTAGGAGGAGTCCCAGGGGGTGCTGAGAGGGGCACCTAGATCTACGGGAGCAGTGACAATAGTGATATCCTGGGGATCCTCGATGACTTCTCCATCATCATTAACATCCCCGACCCTCTTGCGCCTCTTTACGCTTTCGGTCCATAGCTGGGTGGGTCATACACTTGCTTCGCCCATATATTTCCAGATTCTTCTACGGTCAAGTCTCGGCTCTTAGTATCCATGAATCAATCCAGCCGCTTCTGGATAGTCAAGCCTACTACTTTAACAATGTAAACCACCTCCCTAACAGAACGGCGGAAATTGTCCATGCGACCATCCAATTGCGGGACATACATTGAGTGATGCCGAGGGTGTCCCTAGCAACCTTACCGTAAGTACTCAAATAGAAGAAAAATGTGCTAGGACATTGTAGTTGCCTCTCCTAGTAAGGCCCCGACCGGAATCACACAGAATCCTAATCACAATTTGATCATACCTGGAGCTTCATCTACGGAGGTAGAGCTCATAAGTTTTGTATGTTCGACAGGCAGAGAGTGCAACTCACGAGGCTTGTGGAACATACAAAACTTATGGGCTGTACCTCCGTACTGTCTCCTCCATTCTCGTGGTGTTACTTTTGCGGCTGGCGCCGGACCATTTCTGAGTGCAGCAGCCTGCCCTCCTTCCTCACTTACCGTACTAGTCTCATCTTCATCAGGGAAATCAACCACCGCACATTCACCGACACCACCCTAGTCCCCCTGAAATCTCACACATGCTCTGCTTGTCAATCCCTTCGCCTGTATTCAGCACCCATACCGGATTCAGACAAGTGCTGTCTATTCCTAAAGGTAAAATAGCTTGTGCTATGATAGGAAAGTGACATCAGTGATAGCCACATTATAATTTAATGAGCCCCTAGAATTTCTTCATGCCTTCATAGGGAACAACTGCAACTACACGCATATCAGCATGAGCATTCAGAAGATCCACAAGCTGATCACAAAGAAGTACAAAACTGTTGAAGTATTGATATCATATTAAGTGTTAACTTAAAAACAAGAGGAGATACTAAGAGTGCAAGATATAGTGTCATTCTCCCATTCACTTCCTATTGTGAAGAAGCTTGATCCTATTCCAAGCACCATACAATTAATGGATCTAGATGAGTCTGAAGAGGAAATACTTAATAGTGGAGATGAGAATGGAACTGAAGCGAATAGTGGAGAGGAGGATAGAGAAGGTGAAGATGAGGATGAGTATTTGGAGCCTGTCAAGGCACCAGCAATGATTGAAGGTTACTTTCCTATACCTCCTATTTTCAAGATCTTACAACACCCAGCACCTAAGCATCATCTAAATTGTGAAGTTATGGAATGACTTCTCAGAATGCTATGGGATGGCTGGAGCTAGTACTATACCTAGTAGGCAGGAGGGAGAGCACAGCTGTTCAGTCACTCCAAGCTCTTTTTTTAAGCTTTTTTTTTTACAGCAGAAATCTTGGAAGAATTGGCCTATAATACAAATAAATATGCGGAGCTTATTGTAATCAGAGCTGGTGCTCGGTTGACACTTAGTTTGTTTTAAGTATCGGTTGATACTTAGTTTGTTTTATCCTTTGTTTTAAGACTTAGTATCGGTTGATACTTAGTTATTTTTATGCCTTGGTTGAGTAAGAACATGAGTGAGAATTCATGATCACACTCAAATACCTGTACTTAAAAAGACCGCCATTTTCCACTCTGGAAACAGCAGACTTCAACAGATAGTATTCTAATATACTCAGTTGAATAGTTATCTTTATTTTTCTATTACACCACCGAAGTCTTCCTTAGCTAGCCTGGAGCCGCTACTCTTAAAAAGATAGTGCTCTACTTCTATTGTACTCAATAGCGTAACTAGTGCCCCAGCATGAACATGTTACACTTATGCATAACACTTCAAGGACCTCAGGGAGGTAATGGCGACATATCTCTGATACTCCCCCCACCCAGGGGGATTTTTATTGGTCTTGTAATACATATGGGTATACATAAGGTAATGCCAGTGTGAACTCTTCTTTACTGGAATCAAGGTTCTGAATTTCCCACCCACAAGATATCATGGTATATGTCACAATACCAATTTGAGCAGCTTAAATGATACTTCCATGTTTTACCTATGGATCCTCAGGTACCACTACTATCCAGACAACAATAGGCTCAGAAGCTATAGCCTCTTGCATCTAAATTGGAATCTAGTTTCCAAAGCTATCTTGTATCAGCATTGCATGTATCAATTGATAAAATGATGGTCCAATTTACTGGCCCCTCTTCTTATACCAGTATGATTTATGCGAAGCCTATTCCTCAAAGCTATAAGATGCTTGTACTTTGTCAATATAGATACACATATAATTTTTTATTTACATCTCTAGTAGATAAATTCAGTGATCTTGATAACAACATCAGCAAAAAAAAAAATCTCGCTGGACGCGGAATGTCTGGGTCTGGACGTGATTGGTCATTTCTTTTCGTTGTGTGCGTCCTGACTGTCCGGACGCTGACTCATTTCATCCGTCCAATCCGCTGTGTCCACACGAATATACTTTCGCCTCCACCTCTTCAGACACGGGTCGCGGACCCTATTCGTCGCAATGACGTCTGCTCTTTTACTCCATGCCCTTATTTCGTCCAGTGGTCTTCATTTTCTATTATTCCCGGATCTTCGCCTCCTGAATGCGGCTTTACTAAACCGACCCGCCCACGCAACGAGGATCCGTCCAGTAACATCCCATAATAAATCCTTCGCTCACAGTACTCCGGTGTAATCCTAGTATCTGCCTCTCGTCTGGCACATATCTGCCGACTCCGACCGCCATCTTCACACCATGTGGTTGTTCCCACTACCGTCCCTAGCCTTCTTTGCTATGGCCTTTGTGCCGGGACGGTAGCGGAAAGACCCACATCATGTAAAGATGGCGGTGGGCGTCGGCGTATAGGTGCCGGACGATTTATGTTTCTTTCCAAGCTAGCTCACAGAACGAATTGTGTCCGCCCCAATCCACACTCCTGATATTTGTACTGCTTATTAGTACTTCAGGCTCTGCACATCCTCTCTGGCGGCAGTTTTCAATTTTCAGTTTACTTAGCTAGTAGCATTACCATGATCCTTATATAGTCTTTATAAGTATATATATACAAGAATTCAATATATCTCATTAAACGGTAACAAATCAATCCGGTGATTCACTATCCATTGTCTCTCCCCGGCAGGAACCAGATGTGCCTGCCCGATCACTACTCCTATATCAACGATCCGCATATCCCGCCCGCCGGACCACTTGCAAACTCGCATATGTCCGCTCATATTGTAAAATCTCACACTATTCACCGGATCGAGCACTTGAACCAACGCCAGCCGAGTGACACCTCCGGCCTCGCTCTGGACGTTTCTTATCTTGAAAAGTCCTAATAATCGTGCGACACACCTCCCCTGTAGATCCCCACAACTGTCCGCTCCGCCAACCTGGATCCATATCCAATCGTTTCTCGGCCCTGCATTTCGGAAAGACATTGTTCCAGTACAGCGAGCCCGGTGGATCTAGAAGACGTCCGTTGATTGAAAGTCTGGGACTGGAATTTCGAGCTGGGTAAATTGCTCCACCGGAAGCAATCCCAGTTCTGAGGAATTGGTAGGTAGCCGCAGCTCATCCGCTACAGTCCGTTGGATATAATGGACCATCTCCTCCACCATTGCAGAATAATTGATCAGGAGGTTCTCGCAAAAGTTAATTAGCGTGCCGGTGTTCGTGCGGCCTCTGAGAACTCGCCGTAGTTCGCTGCAGCTTGAAGATGTCTGTATCTCTTCCATCACATTTCCTATCCTAACCTCACCATCAGCCTTTGATAGTTCCTCGATTGTAAGCAATCTCATTCCCAGGGCATGCTGGCGGCCATATTGTGATAAGATCTGTCGGGCAGCTTCATTTTTGTTTGATCTCCTGTAGCCTTCTTTGATCTGGTCCTTATGCGCCCGTTCACCAATATTAGTAGAATACATCGTCACGGGCCCAAAACGTCGGACGTGGGCCGCAAAGTAACTCAGGTACATCAGCAAAAAAAAAAATCTCGCCGGACGCGGAATGTCTGCGTCCGGACGTGATTGGTCATTTCTTTTCGTTGTGTGCGTCCTGACTGTCTGGACGCTGACTCATTTCATCCGTCCCGTCCGCTGCGTCCACACGAACCTACTTTCGCCTGC